TGTAAAACACACAAAACGTGCAGCACCACAAAAATGTTATATAAAACAATAATATATATATATGGATTAAGGGGAAGAAAATGGATGGGTCTATGAGAAAAATACATGGACTAGGAAGTGGGCTGGCAGCTCATTTGGAAAGGACAGGATTTTAGCGTTCCAACTAAAAATCCTTAGGGCTGTAACTAAAGATTACTTTTGAATCAGAATCAAACTGGAGTAAAGTTAAGATATATGGTCTCACAACACACATTAACGCTGACATACCTACACTGGTCCCTCTCTCCTCACCCCATAGATCTACTGCCTCACCCCATCTCTCCTCATCCCCCTCTCTCATCACCCCCCTCTCTCCTCTCCCCCTCCTCCTCTTCTGTCTCTGTTCTCTCGTTTGTTTGTTAGTTGCCGTGCTTTGCTTCCCATCGATCTGCAGGTCGTTAGCGTTGCTTTGGCGAGCGCTGGACTGGTAAAAAGTGCACATTAGGATGACAGACGGACGAGCTCCCACAGCTGCTTTTGTTTTCTCTGCTCACGAGGAGCAAAAGCATTTTCATAAACTGCAGACAGCCAAGAAAATAGTGAGGATTAAAGATGCACATAACTCTTCTGCTCAGTCGGCCAATCACAGAGAGGGGACCACACAGTTATCTTATGGTATACTATAGTCATGAAGAAACTGCAACTAGAGAAAAGTCCTTGAAACTGAAATCTCCATCCACAAGATTATGAGGAGTTTGACAATATTGAATTAATTGAAAGAATGAAAAGGACAACAATATGTACATATGGAAACGGCAGCACGTGGCTTTGTGCTCTCAGGTCCTGGGTTCGACTCCAGGGGGTACGAATTCTTCTGAATGGAGTTTTCATGCTTTACCTATGTCTGTGTAGGTTTCCTCCAGGTGCTTCGGTTTCTCCAATCACTAATAATATGTAGGCTAAGCTTCTCCTCTCTAGGGCCAGAACGTCTCTGAAAAAGAAATTCTGTATCTCGGCCGCTCGCCTCATCACACACACCCTTCATCAACCACATCACCCCTGTCCTCCAACAGCTCCACTGGCTCCTATCACTCACTGCATCCAATATAAAATCCTGCTCCTGCATCCTCTGTTTATGCTGTTTTTAACTTTGTATTTTAGCTGTTTTTAAAATGCACTGATGACGTGTCTATAAAGGCACCAAAGAAAAAAAATGTGTTATTATTATTAGTAGACTAGACTACTCTTAAAGGTCAATGTATTTTGGGGAATGTCAAATTTTTGCTAATAGTTTGAATTATTGGGGTAAAAATACTCTATACATTTATATGTCTATTAAAACATAGGATAAAAATTATGATAATATACACAATGATACGTTTTCATATTTCAATGAGAATTACAAACAAGCAATAAGGCTGCCAGGAGTGCCATAGCGACTGAATTCAAACTCCTTTTCTTCTACTATATTTGTTTCTGGGTCGAGGAGGCAGAAGTCTGAGCAGAGACGCCCGCACTTTCCTCCATGCACCTGAAGCTTATCAGTGGGAATCCTGAGGCGGTCCCAGGCCAGCTGAGACATACTGTAGTGTTTTCACATACTATGTCTTGGACCTCATCTCGGTGTGGAGAAGCAGCGGCTCTATTTCAAGCTCTTCTCATGTGACTGAGCTCCACACCCGGCTACTCTACTCTACTTAAATTCAAGCTAGTTTCCCCAATAAGAGTTCATTGATTAATCACATCTGAGCAAAGAGGTTTTTTTTTTAAATCAAACAACCTAATGTGTAACAAGTCATCATGAATCACTGGAGCTTAGTTTTGTCAATTGTAGAAATAATAATATTCACTGACCTTTTGGGATCTAAAAAAGTTATTGATTATCAAAATAATCTTTAATTGCAGCCCTACCCTTTATATAGCATATCATATACATAGTGTTTTACCCCGCATGACTAAATCGAGTGACAATGTTTCTTTGTCAATACTGAGAACAGATGTTAAAGTTAGCATGGTATACTTTATTGTCCCTGTAGAGAAATGTGCCCTCTGCATTTGACCCATCCTGCAGTGCCATTAGGGCCTCTGTCTGCACCCTGGGACCTATCTTCAGATGTTGATGCTCGGCTTGGTAAGGACTACCATAGAGCATTATCTATAATTATCTCAAACAAGGGACATGTTATTGAACCTACTCCTCCTCTTCCTTCTCTGTTCAGTCCTGTGTTCAGGGGAGTTGCTTTTGGGTTTGGTTTGATCTGCTCAAGAGAAAAGGTCAAATCTGTGCAGAGCTGTCTGAGGTCAAAAGAACGCCTCCCACTGAGAATTACAACAACAAATGTTTACAGCTGTAATGTGGATCTCAACAAGACAGGGACAAAGCACAGCCGAGAAAGGAGGAGGGAAAGCCCGGCCTGGTCCCTCAATATAACCCCCAATGACAGAACCACTCCACTCTGTTTCAACTCCTTCCTTTATTGGCACATTTTTGAGTTAGTAAACACATCCCATATGTTTATGAGTTAAATGCAAAGTTTGGTATTCTTTATGTTTAAAAAAGTTGGTCTTTTTACCCAAATAGATTTGCATAAACAAGTGCTACTAACATACATAAACATATACAACAGTGATCTCATTGTATGTAGAATTTATTACATGTTTGAATCCAACGTGTAAGGGTTTCCTCAGGGGAGGACAAGCACAAAAATAACACCAGTGTAAAGTTTGACTGGATTCATGACTTTTTACCTCAGTATATTCCACCCCGGCATGTTGGACCTGTTGTCATGATGAGAGTGTTTACAAGGCATAAGAATAAGCACCACACAATTCGATGGACTATCAGACAAGTTTTGGTCTTGCCTCTTTGGTCTTGGAAGAAGCCATCTCGTAGCTTGGCCGTACTACTCAAACTTTATAATTGTAAATAAAACTGCTATCCTACATATATTGTGGACGTTAAAAGCACCAGGATTCCTGTTAAGTTTTGTTTTTTGCTTCCCAGGACAAAACAAAACAACAAAACATGTGCAGGGACTGTGCATGATCCCAAACAAAACTAGTGAGTCGCGTACACTGTATCAGCCGAGTCTTACCACGCCACCGTACTCATTTTATTTTCGTACTTAGGTCTGGCTTTGCTCAATTGGGCTCTGTTAACAAGTAGGATTTTTTTTTGTAGATGAAACGATTGGATTTGAGTGTACTGTGACGTATGTAATGCGCCCGAGTGAATGAAGCATTTAGCATTTATCCTAGCTTTAGCCATATCCTTTGCCACTAACAGAGCCCATGGGGAGTAGAACCACAACATCTTTGTGTGGTATTTCTTGATATTTGGAGCACAACCAGAAAGGATTGAAGAGTTTACTTTATTTTCGCATTCGCCGCCATTGCCAAACTACAAACAGCAAATTTGGCGCAAACTCTTGACGTCACGACACCTCCCTACAACACCTGCTTCCCCCGCTCGCTAAATGGTCGGAGGGGATTCAACCGAGGTAAACGCAGCCACTAGGATCAGATCCATGCATGTAGGAACTGATAATTGACAGGAGTTGAAATGCTAATACTGTATCTGTCCAAATACATACCTCACGTTTGGCCTTTCCCTGTGCTCTTAAATGCATCACTGGCTTATGTCTCATTCCAATCTGATTGACGTTTTTACCAGCAGCTCTTTATCGATTGGAATAAGTGGAGAATTCGGTTTTCACTAGTGCTTTGTAAATACACCCACAGTTTGTAATAATCAGTCAGTACGACGGAAAAAAGGAAAAAAGATATGTGGTAGGGGAAACAGTCATTTTCTGATCACTGAGGCCTCGAATGCAGGACAATACAGAATTACTCGACATGCAAGAAAAAACAACCCATACTTTGAGTAACACAGGGGAACGACATTATAACAAGTTAAAAATCTCATAAAAGTTCCTAACAATACTTCTATATAATCTCCAATGCAGCCTTAAAAACAGTTGCGATTTTTCCTAACTTATATTTTAAACATAGCTCTTAGTTAAACTCTTTCATTTGGTGTCACCTGGAAAATTAGTGATATTTCTTCATTTCTATGGCCCTTGAAGATGAACGGATTTTAAAAACACAAAGGAGTGGAACAGTATTGAAACTCCAGAGATATGTCTCCCATTGCATTAGAATAGAGTTACAGCCGCACCACATTACACATTTGATCACATTATAGAGAATAAGTGACAGATACATAACAACATAGAAATGCATGGATCATTTTCAAAAATGTAAAAACATTAAAAATATAAAGTTAGAATATTCATTGGATGCATAGAAGTCTGGATCTGTTTGGCACATGCTACATTAGCTTAATGCTACAGCTGTCTACGCTACAGTTTTCGCCATTAGAAAACAAAAATTGAGGGAATACAAACGATACAAAGATGTAATTTCTTCTGATTAAAATGATAATGATATGTTAAATCTCTTATAATAATATCTTTGCAAAGATAATGTTACTTTAATATTGCAAAAGTCATTTCACCTACAATTAATCTACAGTTGCATCTGGGTATAATTAAAGTGACGTCATAGATAACATGTTTTAGCTTAGATTTCTTTGTAAACAGAGTCACACTCATGCACGCACACACACACGCACACAAACACCATGTTGAATAATGGTTTCACTATTTGTAGTAATTGTTTTGAAAACGTAAATTAATTAATATATTGCTTTTGTCTGTTTGCACAGCCAGAAAATACAGAACTTTGCTTCGTTTTTGGCTTTCTGTTGATGCATTCTATGTTTGTGTTTGTTTTTGTCTGTTTTGGTGTTATATGGACTCTTTATGTAAAATAATAAAACACCTCTTCCTGGTGTCTGTTGGATTAGATACGATATAATCAGCAGTGGCTTTAGAAACCAAAACAACACCATCTGGGTTTCTTCTTACAGGTCTTATCTCCCAGTAACTAAAGTAAAATTGTATAAAAATGTAATATCATCAGAACCCAGTCTCCCAGCTTCCTCCTCTGACCTCTGCGGCTCAGACCCAGCCCTCCACCTCCACAGTGAAGGGCTCGGTGACGGCGATGCGTCCGCTGTTCACGATCACACACTCGGTGTAGGGCAGGTTCCTGTCGTTTGTGTCCTGCAGCTCGATCGTGTGCACCACCGTCTGCAGACACACATCACTGCTGTGGTCAGGGCAGCGCTTCACTGTTCACTGTTACTGCCTTAAAATAAGCATCTGGTTTAGAATGATCCAAAACACAATTATTGGATTTTAAAGAATGTGCAGATATACCCTATCTTGTTACACCATCCTTCACTGCCTTTCTACAACGTTAAGAGACCAGTGTGCAGAAGTCGGAGACTTGATCTGACTTTGGACTTGCTCCTTGAGACTTAAGACTTGACTTAGATTTAAGATTACAGTATTTACTTGACATCAATACAATTTTTATATTTAAGAATTAACCACATATATTTGAATAAACATGTGGAACCAGGTCTGTGTGGGTAAAAAGTAATATATTTGTAAAACAAGCCTGTGTTGATCCTAACAACAGAATGACTTGTAACGTTAAGACTTTGACTTGAGTTGAGACCAGTGGGAGCTGTGAGGAGGCGGGTTTCCATCTCGCTTTAAAGCCAAGTTCGGCCGCTGTTTTGTGCTGGCACAGATCTGGCACAGTCAAATAACACTGACTGATCTCTTCTTGATTTGCTCTGCTTGGTATCTGTGTAATGGAAGCACTTTTTTTGTTTTCCCGCAGGAGAGGCCACTTACAGCAGCTCCTGGGCTCTGCATGAATGAAAGTTGAATTTCTTTGAATGGGAAAGATAGACACAAGTAGTTCAATATTAAATACTGTCTATGTTTGAGACCTGCATTTAGTGACTGTGATGGCCACATTGCACATTAGAATTGCGCTTCCTGTTGCATTATTCTTATTATATTGCTTACATTTGGCAGCCGACACGGTACATTCTCTTTCATTATAAACCAAGACAAAAGTGTGTTCTCAGATCCATTCTTTACTATCCCTCAGAATCAGTATCTCAGTAAAACATTTTCTCACCATTCCGTCCAGGACTTTGCCGAAGACCACGTGTTTCCCATCGAGCCACGGAGCTCTGGTGGCGAGGATGAAGAACTGCGACCCGTTTGTGTCTGGTCCTGCGTTTGCCATGCTCACCTGCAGGGGGAGACACATGTATGGAGCCTTGACTATTCTGTCATAAATCATACATTGTCGTTAGGACGTTTGTCCTAACAGAAACATATTGTTGTTTGCATAGTTGTAAGAACCCCATTTCCGCTAGGCCTACTTGGCTCTACTCTCCTGTACCCTGTTTAACTGGTACCAAGTACTATTTTAGTATTTCTGCTTCTATTCAGGCCGAGCTGGTACTAGCAGAGATTGGTTGGTGGGGATAAGAATCCACATCTCCAAAACCAAGGTGCTCGACCGGAAAAAGGTGCCTTGTCCTCTGCAGTTGGGTGGAGAGGATGAGTGGATTGGTGCAGCGTCCAGAGTGATGCGGTCGCTGTATCGGACCGTAAAGAGGGAGCTGAGCCGAAAGGCAAATCTCTTGATTTGCCGGTTAATCTTTTGTTCCCTCCCTCACCTATGGTCATGAGCGTTGAGCAATGATCGAAAGGACGAGATTGCGGATACAAGGTGGCTCGGGCATCTGTTCCGGATGCCTCGTGGACGCCTCCCTGGGGAGGTGTTCCGGGCACGTCCCACCGGGAGGAGACCCTGGGAAGACCCAGTACACGCTGAAGGGACTATGTCTCTCAGCTGGTCTGGAAACACCTTGGGGTCCCCCCGGACAAACTGGATGAAGTGTGTGTGGATAGGGAAGTCTGGGCGTCTCTGCTTAGATTGCTGCCCCCGCGACCCGGCAACGGATGAAGCAGAAGAAAATGGGTGGAGGTTGCTGGGGTAAAGTACCAGATACTAAAGTGTAATGGAAACACAACCAGGAAGGTTAGAAGATTAGGGGCTGAGTAGCGCTGGTTGAAATGGGGCTTATGTGATGCTTTGAGCTGATTGGCTGAACACCTAAACATGAAACTAGAACTGTATTGAAAGCGAGGAACTAGTTAGACAGATTTTTTTACTTAGCTTCATTCTTTGTAGATTGAAAGTGAGGTACCCCAGCTTTAATTGATGTTTGCTGTCCTGTGCATAAAGTAATGATAAAACATTTGAGATCGTGGACTCACCCACCCAGCTCCCAAATGCTTCAGTTTAAAGTTCTCATCTGCGAAAGTGGTGCCGTAGATGCTGTGACCTAAATGTCCACACAAAGAAAGTAATAATAATCATTTTCATATATTAATCTGAAGTGGAATACTCTTTCTACAGTGGACAATACAGACAACAGGAAAGGGAGCACTCAATGACAAAAACAGGAAAAAGTATAAACTTTAAACTACACTGCACTTGGATATAGATTGAATAAATAGAATATAAAGGGATTGAATTACTGACTACAATACACACAAATACCAGTACATTACCATTTGTCCGTTTCATGTATCATCTGTACGACCGGATCATAGTTGCCACAGTGTGACTTCATATTAAATCCAAACTGAAGCGTGTCTCAGTGGTGTGCAGCGTGAGGACTGTACCTCCGGTCCCGTCGCCGCTGGTGAAGTCTCCTCCCTGGATCATGAAGTCCTTGATGACGCGGTGGAACCTAGTGCCTTTGAATCCGTATTCTTTCTGTCAACACCAAAACAGAAGAGGTTCTACACATATATGTTCAACAGGAATTTTAAAAGACATACAAAATCTATTTTTTGGAGACTTTAATCATTACATTACAACCCAGTTTTCCTCATAATCTCTGTTTGTCAATGTGAGGGTAATATAAGCTACTCCTTCATGTCTCACATTGGAGAGATTCGTTGTATGTGTGTGTGTGTGTTTAGACAGGGGTCTAAGCAGAGGTCTCCCATCACAGTACTAACCAAGCCCTGCCTTGCTTAGCTCATGAGCTCTGACAGGACCTGGCAGCTACAGATGGAAGTAAAGATGAAAACAATACTATTCAAAGCACTGCATGAAAAGTTAGATTTTCGTCACCCTAAACTGCAGGAAATCACGCTCTTTTTCGGGTATCTCAGGCAGTTTTCAGAAGGCGCAGTTAGGGTGCCCTGTCCTCCAAACTGCCGTATCCGTACCATGCTAATGTCCCTACTTTGCATATGAATGCAGCGAAACACTGCGGCCGCCGAGCGCTAATGGCCCTAATTAGCATATGAATGCAGCGGCTGGCCAGGCTGCTATTCAGCATTGGTGAATACCACTACTTTCAAACTCGTGATTGGCTGAAAAATCACACGTGGCCAGCCCACGTGGGATTACTCCCCATTGGTAGCTTACTCCCCATTGGATGAAATCACTACTTTCAAATAAGTATAATCTCTCGTGATTGGCTAGCAGATCTGTCACTATTGGTCACCCTGCCTCATAATTAATGTAATAATATTTATATAAATATTCGTATTATTTATAGAAGAAATGAAAATTTTCCAGGAATATGTTCATACAAAGAAAGCTTTATTAAAACACACACACACACACAGCTTTATGCTTACACATAGGTAATTAAAAAATTACAACTCTGAACTGTCCAATAGCCTCCTCTGGGTTGTAATTTGGCAGGGTTCTAGATAGACGCTTAATGTGCGTGGCTCTGTACTTCCGCGCCGCCTCTAACCGGGACTGCAGCTTGACAGAGTTCAGAAAACTCCGGCTTTCGAAAAGACTGCGACCGCACAATCCATCCAGAGACACCGTCCACAACGCCTTCTTCTTCATTGGACATTAGGTCTACCGTGGCGGACTTCCAGAGTTCCACTTTGTCACTTTCTAGCACACTCAGTCTCGATTCCAGCGGCTGAAAGAATCAGTAAATATTATTAGCCAAATCAAATCCTTTTTCCCATCTAAACATAGTGTCTAAAGCAGACCTGGAGATTCTTATCCATGCATTTGTCTCCAGTAGGTTAGACTACTGTAACAACAGCTGCAGTGCATTCAAAATGCAGCAGCTCAAGTACTGACCAGAACCAGGAAGTACGATGGTAAGGCAAGTTTATTTGTCTAGCACAATTCATACACAAGGCAACTCGAAGTGCTGAGCAAAATAAGAAAGCATTAAAATAAATAATCACAGTACATTAACAAAGATAAATATAAAATACCTCAGTTGTAGCACAGCTAAAGTGACAGCTCCTCTCTGACAATGTTTAAAACCAGGTTAAAGGGAGAAACAGTAAAACACTTACACACAATGTCGTCTTTATCAACATGGTGGAAATGTGGACTTATTGTTCACATTGTATTGCAGATATTGTGTTAAGCAAAAAGGAGGTCACCATCTCATTACGAGGCGAGATTAGTCTGAAAACAAAGTGTACAGTTATGATTGGTATCTATACATATCCATTACCGACACAAAACGTGTAGGTAAACCAAATTCAATTTCCATGGATACATTAACAATACTTACATAACCTTTTTGAGAAAATGGATCCTTCAATGAAGAAAGTGTGATAATTCTAAGAGCATAGCTTTTTTTGTTTTCGGAAAGGCATTTGTCTAAGGAGAAAAAAACACTCATGGTCAAAGGACTTCATGGTTACATAAAAAGGCTAAATTAATAGTATCTACAAGTACATATTTTCACAGGGACCTAACCAAGAGATAATCTACAGGAGAACATCTACCTAGGTCATTTATAAAAGAGATCAGTACTATTTATCTTACAATGGGGAATCAATAACAGTGGTGAGAGAAACTGAATTGTTATGTGATTATTGTGAAAGGTCTTTCAAGTGATTTTCATTTTATTTTGAGTAAATATCCTTCCACTTGTAAGAAGGAACTTTTGAGTAATAACTGAGGGATACAACATACCCATGTGTTTCACTCATGTCACTGACGAGAAGGTCGACAAGTTGTCTTCGAGAGCGGTGACTTAGTGATCTCACAGAATTATAATCTTTAAGGATCTCTCGGTCACCAGGGTTTTCCTGCAGTTCCACCATCTACAAACACGTGAAAAATGTAAAATGACAATCTACAATTGTACCAAAAATCGTATGATACAAAATGCAGCAGGACCTCTTTTGATGTGTACCTTTCTCCTTTCTCCATCTCCTCTGCTGTACATATGTGCATTTCAACACCAAACACAATCATATGTCATTTCTTTTTGTTATTGCTTTATGAACTTACACAGGAATCGAGGTGCCGGACAATCTTGGAAAGCTTAGCGCCAGCAGACCCCCTTTTGGCCTTAAAGAGCTTGATGAACTGTGTCGTTAGGCAATCGAATGCTTCAACGAAATCATTGCCCAGTTTGGAGCTGGTGATCTGGTTAAATTCTGCCAGGACCTGCAAAAAAAAAAAACAACATAAAACACTTCAAGTTAAATGCATAGTTGTAAAAAATGTGTACACACCTGTCTCTCTGTATGAAGTGCCGGCCAGCGCGCTTCGACATTTTCCACAGGTAGGGCAGAATTGACTTTCTTGTTGTCGGACTGCAACACGCTGTAAGCAAAAAAGAATAATCAATATATATAAAACAATATCACATGATTTTTGCTCAAATGTGTTTAAAGGAGGTCTAGATTCACTCAATAACATTATTAAGCAATGGACTTAATAAAAAAAAAACAAAAAAATGAACAGAAAGACAACAGTGACAAATGAGATGAAAAAGTACAGTAATAAAAGTGAAAGTCTTAGCGCTCAAACAAAGACAGGAACAGTGCAAAACAAATGATATATGTTAGATATTCCACAGAACTCTAGTCCACAGTCTCCTGTACATCAGGCTCTGCCATGAGCCCAAACTGCTTTTCCTTCGGTTCTTTCGAAGCAGTCCTCAGTAAACTCCCGGAGGCCGGACAGAGCTCTCTCAGGCCTCCGAGAGAGCGGCTCTGAACACGGCCACAGTCACTGCATTCACCGCTGAGCTGGTCGAACACACGAGTTTTATAAGATAATATAGTCGAATGTATACTCGTTCTTAACACACTTCTTTAGCTTTATACCTTTATAACAATGAACAACGTGTCTTAACACTTACCGTACATTCAAAAGAGTCCTCTCTTCACGTTCCAGACCGCACCGTCGACTTGAGGCAAAGTATTTTGTTGCGTTTTGCGCATGCGCGAAATGCGCATTCAGTTTGTGAAGTCCCCATGTTTTGGTTGTGTAAAGAGAGTGATGATAACACCAACAACCGTTTGTGTATATACTGGTCAAAGTGCTCGTGGGTCCTCCGGTATGATACTCCGTCTGGTTGGGAGGCCACCAGCAGACTGAAGTCGTCTGCCAATGATTTGTGTCTGAAGGTCAGGAATGTAGTTGTAATCCTTTGCTTCTTTGACAGTGTGTACCCGATACCGTTTCGATTTTTTGCTGTACAGTCTCTTTAGGCTACAAGATAAGTAATTTCACGTTAGAAGACAACTATATTTATGACTTGTCAATAGGAAGTAGTGAATGATACTTACGACACTTGGCCTTTGCTGTACACATGTGCCGGACGGCTGTTGTGGTGATTGTAGTCCAAAGCTGCGAGAAGTGTTCTTGCTTCATAAACAAAAAATGAAAAAGCAAACCGCTTTCCGGCATACATCAGAATATGGTTTTGGAATGATTCAAGCTGTGAGGTGGTCCTGCAGGGAAAGTAAGTAGGAAATAGAAGAAACACAAATCATTCAAAAAAACAAAAACTGATCTCTTACCGAAATGTGAGGAACTTCTCCACATCCTTCAGCCATCTGCGGTTCAGCACGATCTGTGACAGTGCCACATGTGCTTTAGAGTCAGTTGGTACAGGCTCTTTAGTGCCATCATCCCCCAAAGGACCATGAAGGCATCTTCCCAGGTCCCACTCATGCACGCCACTAACATGGTGCAGTACACCTCGCCAAATGTCCTAATAAGCAAACATAAGAAACTGAAAAGGTATAGTGAAAATGAGAAGATAAATTCTAGTTCTACTTTACTTACCATGAACTCTTCTCGGCTGCTTGCATGCTGACAGGCATACCAAAAATGGTTAACAATGTCCTTGATCCACACTAGGATTTGTTTTTGACCTGCTAGGACACCCGCATATCAAAGTTATTGGTTTTGGTTAACTCTATAAAAAAATAATTGAATGAGAAACGATATGAACTATCACTTACAGCATGAAGCCTCTTAGTTAGATTTTTTTCAGCATGCCAGACATCCAGGGAATGGGTAACTCCATGATCCATATATCTTCCCCGTTCTGGATCTATTATGAAGCTCAAAAATGCAGTAAGCACAAAATATAGCACATCAAATAATACAGACAAAAATACTTACGCATGAGGGCTGCAATTTGCACATGGGCGTCAGTCACAATCTCTTTGACTTTTAATTCTTTCGATAGATCATCAAATGTTTTGATGAACGCTGCCTTCTCCATAGAGACACTTTTCCCACCAACTTGCCTTTTATCAACATTGACAACACTGATAATGTCCATTGTGTCAAGTTCCATCGTTGTGTATGTGAAAAACGTTGCAGAATGACCTTGTTGAATCAAATATGGTGAAACACAAAGTAATACACAATAACTATGTTGTGAAGTGAAAGGCTTCAGACTTACCTGGTGAGTCCATTCTCCCGTCAGCTGTAACAGATATAGTACTTATAGTGACTGCAAATACGACAAAGATTGTCCTTTAACACATTACTTACCAAGGGCCACAATGCCATCTTTTGACTTTAATCGAGTTACAATAGACAACCTCTTCTGCTCCCAAAATGCCTTTATTTCAGGTACGCAGTAGGAGTGTTGAATTTTGTAATAACTTGTCGTTGAAACCATCTTCATATTCATAAATTTGAAGAGGAGGGCAATCTTAGCAAAATTATTACCACTCAGTAATAAGTTGGCAGATAACATAAAATCGCCTCCTTGCATCCCATGTCGAAGTACAGGTTGACTGTTCCACATCCATAACTTGTGTCCATAAGAGCAGAACTATGGAGAAAGAAACAAATAACTTTTACTAAATGTATAACTACACATTTTGCCTACCCTAAATACCAATCTCTAATTTCAGCATTCACTCACCCATTCCAATATGATTGATGTGCCCCTAGAACGTGATTGAACCGAAAATGGAGGCCGACCGTCACACTCAATACCAGAAACCGGATCGCTGTAATGGCATTTGTTGATGGGCAGTTGCAGAAAATTAGCCATTTGCAGCAAGCTAATAGTATACGCTATGCATGCTTGTTGGTGCACTAGGTCAGTTTCAGCAACCACACGAATTGGCTTTGGGAATGTTGATATGTCCTGCTCAGACTGATCCTCAAAGTCCTCTGGTTCTCCGGGATTTTCTGGGTCACAGATGTCCAACACAGCTTCTTCTATGCCGAGGATGGGAAGATTGTCAACTTCTCTTTGAATTGCAACACCAGCACTGAAAAAAAGAACAATTTGATGCTTTTTCAAAAAACAATTAGGGAAGGACTTCCATTATTTTCAGGACAGAACATTTAATAAAAAAAACCTCAAAGATATAGGTGGGACATATTCCGAATCTAATGGATCTGAGGCCAAATCTTCATCAAACTCAATCCTGTGAAAGTAAACAGGTCATATTTTAAAACAATCAACAAAATATTTCTTTTTAAACATGTTAAGTAACTTACACACTGTCTTCTAGATTGTTTGCCCGTTTTTCGTTTAACCAAAGATCTGAATGTCTACAAAAAACAATAAATCATATAAATAAACGACCTAGAAATGAGAATACAATGTACATCTTAATGTGAATGCATGTCTACCTTTTCTCCAAAACCTCCAGCTCTTTCTCCTCTATAAAAGGCTGCACCCCTGCCACAGATAAGTCATCCCTGTTAAAAAATACAGTTTGTTTCAGTGAAATTGTCAATAAGGCTTGAATCAAACATAATGCCAATCCCATTTTTCTGGGAAAAAAAAGTACCGGTCAGATTCTACGGGACTGATTGAACTCGGGTTCAGAAACCTCACCAGTCGCAGTAGTGGTTTTAGGAGTTGAGGCCTTGGGACTCCTTGATGCCATAATTTTTTCATAGCTATAAAGTAAATAAATACACGTTACCTATACACACATGCATCTCATTGTATTACAGTTGGACTAACCACATTATATTACTAATATAGTCTGCAATTCTACGATACATATAGTACAGGTACTGAGGTACATAATCACTGCATCTGCAAGTTTCATAATGGTTTACATGCACAGTAGCAGCCCAATAATGTACACAGCTGTACTAAGCTAACAGATGCTAACGTTCATTCAAAAGCACTAATCAACGTAACAGTCATTATTTCTAGACATTCTTCATACAGAACAAAAAAAATGCTGAATGTGTCTCGCCAATCTGTTACTGTTCAGAAAAAAACCGAACCAAATGGAATCAGTCCATGTTGCTAAGTCAAAAAGCTAACACACAATAATGCTATATCTCTTCGTATTCGTGCAAGACACTAGGACGTTTAGAACTGAGTCACCGTCTTACCTTCTAATCAAGATAAACGCCAAATGAGGATCATTTTTTATCCCCAGAGCGTTTCGGAGACTTCTCCATTTCTCAAACGCATGGCCGAGAGCGACTCGGGTCTGAGCTCTCCGCCGGTCGGCCTCTCGCTTCGCTCTTTTCGTAGCACTAGTGACAATCTTTTTTCTCTTCGCTTGGCGTGGAGTTCCAGACGGTGATTCTGAAGCTGGTCTCTTAGAGAAACTGCTGGATCCATCTTCAAATACGCGTGATACGAGGACGGGACAGATCCACTGAACGCGAGGGAACATATGGAGCCAAAACAGTGAACGGGCACGCGCATTGCGTCACTTCCGCTTAAACAGCGCGCGAGAAAGCGACCCGAGTCAGGGATTTCTCAATCACTGTATGCGCTCACAGAAGCAACCACAGTGAATCTGCTAATGCTCAGTTTACACACCAGGCAACTGCTGATGGACCACAGATGCAAAATATTGCATTATGGCATTTTTTAACTTACGCAATGCACCTGTCAAAATTATCGTTTTGACTCACGTTAATTACATTTTTTATTAACGCGTTATTTTTTTAAATACCCGCCCATTTATCCATAAGAATATCACTCAGAATGCTGCGTGTGAGATGGCCTCCTCCGTGGCCGCTCTGGTTGTTGTTAGCGGCTGTGAGTGAGTGCGAGCTTTGCACGGGCTGCAAGCATGGATCTAGCTATTATAATAACAGCAGCAAGCGATTGCTCCGTTCACATACTCAGCGCTCTGCGCACTGTATTTTCCCTGGTTCTTGTCTGTCAGGCGCGCTCTGCGCACTGTATTCTCCCTGGTTCTTGACTGTCAGGCGTGAGTGTTGCTCGTGTGTGTCTTTGGGAACTAATTATTTTAAAATAGTCTCTTTCAATTGCAAGTTTTGTAATCTGTTTGTTTGATCAATGGATAAAAATAAATGCAATTTAATTAAATGGCACCTTGGCCTGTCTTATACCTGTTTGCCTGCAGGACAGTTCCCTAAACTAACATATCATACTAAAATAGGGTGGGGTTGTTGCAACAATTAATCTACTTAGAAGTTATCCTAAATTACAGCCAGCTAAAGCTCGGTACCACGACAAACGAAAAAGTAACGCAATAGTTACTTTTACTGCTAACTAGTTACTTTTATAGTGGAGTAACTCAGTTAGTGAGTCAATTACTTTTTGGTAGAAGTAACTAGTAACTATAACTAATTACTTTTTCAAAGTAACTTACCCAACACTGGTAATTATATTTGATAATCTCATTTAACTTCAATTGGAGTGGATTTGAAATAGAATGTTAAACATGCGATTAATCGTGAGTTAACTCACCATTACTATGCGATTAATCAACTAAAAAAAATGAATCGTTTGACAGCCCTAGTATATATATATATATATATATATATAATTTGAACCGAGAATAGAACACATCTTTCATGTCATGAATAAAAATAAAAAATCCAAACTTTTGGTCTGTACTGTACATACATGAGATGAGCACTTACACTTTCAACATGTCTTTTGTCCTATTAGATTTATTTAATTGATTTTGACATGACAAGCTATAATCAATCATGATCAAATATGTGTGTGTGTGTGTGTGTGTGTGTGTGTGTGTGTGTGTGTGGTGTGTGTGTGTGTGTTGTGTGTTTGAGCATTTACAAAATCCGGGTCTACGGTGTGCTCCCCCTCAACCCTGATTAGCATTTGTATAGCTCACAGCATTGCCATTTACATGTTAAAGCCTCCTGTGGAGGAGGGAGGAGGGGACAACAAACTGCCGAATCCCAGAAGTTTCACAGTAATATACAGGGCCGAAAAGAGACGAAAATCACACTTTTCATGCAGTGAAGTGTATCTTTTCTACACCTGAGATGTTGCTTCTCGTTCGGTAAGATGCCAAAGGTCGAAGACCATGTTTCAGGCCCAAAGTTGATCATTAGTTACACACTTAAAAAAAAAAATTAAGGCTGGGATGACACACCTCTCCCGTTGCCAGTGTGACAAAGTTGGCGACCGTGAGTGGGACCTCTTCTCCAAACAGTCCGATGACGATCCGGCCAACCTCATGACCTCCGACCGTCACGTCAAAGAAAACCTAAAGCACATTGAAAAAAATCTTGCGTTAGCCGGAAACGGGGCATCAACAATACCTACTGTTTTTATGTGAAAGCGAAATAAACTAAACTAAGAAGTTATAGAGGTGTATGGATATGTACCCACCGAATACATCAGGATTAACCCAGAACCGGTAAAAATATATTCTTTCAGGATCTTGCCATTCCTATTCACATCCCTGTATCGCACATGGATGAGAGATTTTTTTGGGAAGTATTTAATAAAATTACTGTGAAAAATATTGGTGTTTTATTTGACATCTATTTTATTATTTGTGCAGTCCTGACTCTAACTCACGCAGTAAATATCCCTTGGCCAAATATAATACAAGGCATGCTTTGAGTCTGCTGCAGTGGTCAGCTGCCCTCGTGCGTGCTCAAAACAGCTGTGCGCGTGTGGGTCCCCTTTGGCGTGCACTGTTTACGCTTGAACACGTGACCTACATTCCAAGAAACGGGTATACACACAGGCGCGCGCGCGGCTGCAGACACGCGCACTATGCTGGGACATGAATGGTAATAAATGCGGCAGACGCTCCGGTACCTTCTCGGTGACTTTCGGCCCGTTCCGTGAATCTACGGAAGACGCCAACAGCATCACCGCGACGAGCACGAGCCCCGCATGCATGATGGCGCGTGGAGATGAGACGCAGAGGGCGCGTGGAGCACAGCGGGGAGCGGAGCCGGAGAGGAGCGCTCCCAACCCGGCTACAGTCTCCGAGGAAGCTCCGGTCTGTAGGCGGAGTCTGAGCAGAGCCAAGCCCACCACAAGAGAGGGGGGGGGGGGGGGGGCGTCAGCGTTGCATCAGCAATTACAGAACAGTAGGAATAGGGAGCACACGCAATCTTATACACAAACTAATGATTAATTCGAGTTTGAGGTGCTGCATCAAACATGAAAGATGCTTATACAAAGTCATGGTTTTGACAATGTTCAAATCCGAGTTAAAACAGATCTCTTTAGCTGTGTATAAGATAAGAAAGATGAAACTTTATTGATTTCACAATGGAGACATTTTTGGGATTATAAGTAAATCGCATCAAAGCCCCCAACCAACACCATTCATTCACTCCTTCATACTTATTGTACATGTTTTTAGTGGTAGGGGAAACCGGATGAAACCTATACGCAGACACAGGGAGAACATGCAAACTCTACACAGAAAAGCCTGGCGGTTATACAAAGTAGCTGTGTATAAGATAAGAAAGATGAAACTTTATTGATTTCACAATGGAGACATTTTTGGGATTATAAGTAAATCGCATCAAAGCCCCCAACCAACACCATTCATTCACTCCTTCATACTTTGAAACCTATACGCAGACACAGGGAGAACATGCAAACTCTACACAGAAAAGCCTGGCGGTGAAATCCAATCAGGACCTTCTCGCTGTAAAACACAAGCTCTAACCGCTGCGCCACCGTGCTGCCAAAATAGTACTAAACTGTATTTTCACTCTGTTTAATGTTCTGTGATTATTTAGGACTTTAATGCCTTGTGCGATTTTAATACTTATTTTCTTGTTTTGTTGAGTATGAGTTCCCTTGTGTATGAACTGTGCTATACAAATAAACTTCCCTTGCCTTATGAATCTGCTGTTAAATTTCCCACCCCTGTGAATGAAATGAACATAATGTGAGCTAAATAAACATGATTATTAGCATCATCATCCTCATCATCACAATGTCTGAAGAGTAACTGCTCCAGGGTCATGTATCCCTCTGCTTCACTGCAACCATCTCAACCTATAATAACACAGAAACGCACTGAAGCACTCACTATTTTGTCTATCTCTAATGATGTTCTATAGGCTTCATTCCCTCTCATTGAAGCTATCTGACCCGTCTGATTGTTTTATTTATGTACTTGTCCTGGCTGTGATGTCACATGCTTTTCATTTGAATGTCTCTTTTGATCTGTATTGTTTTTTCCGTGTGAAGAACCATATTTGTTTTGAGATGAATGGCCTTTCCGTGTTCCTGTAATCTGTCAATCCTGGCCATGTGAAAATATGCACTAGAATGTTCTGTATAATGGCTTCAATTTGGAAATCTCACCAGTGAGATCTAAGGAAAGGGTGAGATGTGTATGTTTTTGAATTGAATAAAAAGAATAATTCAATAATATAGAATCCTTGTAAGAAAAATGTAGTACCGCTTTTAAGACACATAACGAAGAAAAAAATAAATGCTAGAAGTTTCAACTTTTGATTCGTATCCCAGCGTTATAACAGACTGAGGTCCTTCTTCCTCCTGGTTTGGGTAAAATCTGGATTAGCAGCTTATAGTTTAATTTCTTTCGAACGTGTGTACACCTAAATACAACAATTTGGACCAAGGTGATGCTAATTTGCCCCCCCCCCCCCCCCCCCCCCCCCCCCACACAGACAATTACTCAACACAGGACCAAACACTCTCTGACCCCACACCTCTCCCCATCACTCTCTCTGTGCTTCACTCTCTTTCCTCCACATTGACCTTAATCATACTTGTTTATACTTTATTTCCTAAGTTGTTCCAAAGAGTAACGTCTCATATTGAGATACACATGGATTTCGAAATAGTTTTAGATTAAGGCAAATATTTTTTTCCAGATCCCCAGAACTTTATTTTAGCTGCTTTAAAGTGTGTCTAGTCCTGAAGTCTTTTGAATCCATGACCAGTGGATTTGAAGTGGACATTACTCTAGTTTGGTCTGGATGTTTTTTGAGTTTCAGACCTGTTTTTCTCCTCTCCTCGGTAAAGTTGAATGTTAATGGCGTGTGCGCAGAGCTGACCTTACGCGTCGTGTGCGTATCGGCTCCTGTCAACGCCCCGTCCATTCCATCTTCCGCCGGCGCGCATCCATTACGCACGGACGCATTCATTTGGCGCGGATGCATCCATTTTTGCCGCGCGCTGGTTAATTGGGCGCGTTAACAACATGCCCGTATGTAAATGAGCCCAGCGCCAAGGTGAGACTCATGTTTAAATGCATGCGTCTGCGGGTGCGCTCGGGTTCCATCGAATTAACGTCAGATCACGCGCTAACGAACACACAAAGCATTTAACAACGGGTCATTTAGCAGGACCACCGCCCAGACCGGAGAGGACCAGAGTGGAGAAAAAGCAAAGGACTAAATCCGATCTGTGGGTAAATGTAATACCGGGAGCGTAAAGGCTTAATGCGTTCAACAGCACTTTGAAAAGAAGACAAATCACCCAATGGAAACAGGAGATGAACCATTTGTACTTTTGGCAGCAGCGAATCACAAACTATGTAATGAAATACATCTAAAAGCATTCCTCGCTTTCAAACATCTCTGGTTCTATCTCTGTTTTTTGGTCACATCTTTAGATCAGCTTTTTCAGAGAGAACTAGAAACTTGCAATGGCTGAAGCCATTGCGATTGACTGCGGAACAGATCTAATGTGGAAATCTGCTAAAAAAAATCCTTGAAATCCTTTAAAAGGCCTTGAAACTGTTAAAATACTTGATAGATATTTGAAACTCCTGAAGTCCTTGAAATTGTTGAAACCTTTAAACTCCTGAAATCCTTGAAACTGTTGAAACATTGAAACTCCTGAAATCCTTGAAACCCCTATTAAGTTCCATTATACTGGTTTATATGTAAAAAAAAAAACCCTATTAAGTTGCATTATACTGGTTTACATGGAAAAATCCCTATTAAGTTGCATTATACTGGTTTACATGGAAAAATCCCTATTAAGTTGCATAATACTGGTTTACATGGAAAAATCCCCATTAAGTTGCATTATACTGGTTTACATGGAAAAATCCCCATTAAGTTGCATTATACTGGTTTACATGGAAAAAATCCCTATTAAGTTGCATTGTACTGGTTTACATGGAAAAAACCCTTTACATGGTTTAAAAAAACCCTATTAAGTTGCATTATACTGGTTTACATGGAAAAAACCCATGAAAAAATTAAAGTTGCATTATACTGGTTTACATGTAAAAACCCTATTAAGTTGCATTATACTATTAAGGTTGCATTATAAACTGCTGGTTTACTGCTGAAGTGGAAAAAACTCCTTGAAACTCTTGAAATCTTGAAACTGCTGAAATCCTTGAAACTGTTGAATCCTTGAAACTGTTGAATCATTGAAACTGTAGAAATGTCTGAAAGAGCTGAAGTCCTATTAAAATGCATGGGCCTATTAAAATGCATTGCAGAATTCTCAATGCAGATTTTTGTCCGATTGCGGAAAAACCGGAAATCGCTGAAGTCCCAAAAGTAATAGCAATAATCTCCCAAACATGTGGAACGTTTTGATGTATAACTTGTGGAAATTGTTGAAAATGTGAAAGCTGTGAAACGTGTCAAAAAAAAATGACGGAATAAAGAAATACAAAACCAATGGTTGACTGCGGAAGGTTCCGCAGTCAATCAATTATCCAAACAGCAGACAGGCCGACAGGAGGCGGCAGGAGGCGACCTGGGCAGACAGATCAGACCAGCACAAGGTCATTAGTTGCATTATAAGCTGGTTTACATGAAAAAAACCCTATTAAGTTGCATTATACTGGTTTACATGGAAAAATCCCTATTAAGTTGCATAATACTGGTTTACATGGAAAAATCCCCATTAAGTTGCATTATACTGGTTTACATGGAAAAATCCCTATTAAGTTGCATTATACTGGTTTACATGGAAAAATCCCTATTAAGTTGCATAATACTGGTTTACATGGAAAAATCCCCATTAAGTTGCATTATACTGGTTTACATGGAAAAATCCCCATTAAGTTGCCTTATACTGGTTTACATGGAAAAATCCCTATTAAGTTGCATTGTACTGGTTTACATGGAAAAAACCCTATTAAGTTGCATTATACTGGTTTACATGGAAAAAACCCTATTAAGTTGCATTATACTGGTTTACATGTAAAAAACCCCTATTAAGTTGCATTATACTGGTTTACATGGAAAAATCCCCATTAAGTTGCATTATACTGGTTTACATGAAAAAAAACCCTATTAAGTTGCATTATACTGGTTTACATGAAAAAACCCTATTAAGTTGCATTATACTGGTTTACATGGAAAAATCCCTATTAAGTTGCATTATACTGGTTTACATGGAAAAATCCCTATTAGGTTGCATGATTACACTGAAGTCCTTGAAACTGCTGAAGTCCTTGAAACTGCTGAAGTCCTTGAAACTGCTGAAGTCCTTGAAACTGCTGAAGTCCTTGAAACTGTTGAAGTCCTTGAAACTCTTGAAATCTTGAAACTGCTGAAATCCTTGAAACTGTTGAATCCTTGAAACTGTTGAATCATTGAAACTGTAGAAATGTCTGAAAGAGCTGAAGTCCTATTAAAATGCATGGGCCTATTAAAATGCATTGCAGAATTCTCAATGCAGATTTTTGTCCGATTGCGGAAAAACCGGAAATCGCTGAAGTCCCAAAAGTAATAGCAATAATCTCCCAAACATGTGGAACGTTTTGATGTATAACTTGTGGAAATTGTTGAAAATGTGAAAGCTGTGAAACGTGTCAAAAAAAATGACGGAATAAAGAAATACAAAACCAATGGTTGACTGCGGAAGGTTCCGCAGTCAATCAATTAGTATTGAATTGTGCATTTTGGGATAGCTTTTGAAGAAATCAGTCCCACAGAATTCAAATGGCATAATGTACTTTTAACATCCGACTAAATGTTAATTCAAGCTTCTTTATGTGCATGCTTACCCAGGACCAGCTCTATCTATTTGGTTAAATGGACGACGCAATTACTTTGGGTCCTGGAGACACTAGACGGCCCCCAACAATGCCTTCAAGCTGTGGCAAGCTGTGACCGCCTGAAAATGTGAATTATCAACAGTTATGCGTCACTTACTACTTTTACAGCAGGAGCTGTTCAGTGTGACTGGGCTCGTATCCAGGGTCTTCTTGCTGTGAGGTGAGAACACTACTCCTTCAAATCACTTTTTGTTTCTCCAGAAAGTGTCCTAAAAATATAACTTTGATTTATAATTTTGTCTTGTACAGTATTTTGAATTCTCTGTGGAGTGATGTGATTTGTCATTTCTACAGTCTTCTGGGAGAGTGCCAATGATTTTTTGGGTGTAGTATACCAATTTGTAAATTATAGTGTCGCATTTTCAACCACACAAACTTTTGTATGCTTTATGGTTGTTATAAACATATTGTTTAATAGCATAATATCAAACTAAACTATAGTTTATTATAAGAACTCTTAAAACAATGCACCAATTTAACTTTTATTTAGTCCTGGCCAAGAGGCAGCAAAGTTACACATAAACACAACAAACAGATAAAAACACATTAAAATGACAGGACATGTCCGATTTAAACTATTTTAAAATAGGACTTAAAATAGTTAACCAATTTTAAGTTCTATTTTAATATGTATCTATTTTGGACTTAATAATACTCCTGAGCTCTGACCCAGAGGGACTTCAGAGAAATGTTACTTACAATGAGGCAGGTCTACCACTAGAGAGCGCCCCAACTTAATCATTTTTATGCAAATAGTCCAGAGATGGAGAGAAGAGTGTTTTACTTCTCATCATATGCCTCAAACAAATCTATGGGAACACGAAACATATATTGAAGACTTCGCTCAATGTGTCCAAAAGTAGAACAAGCCATTTCTCACAAGTCATTTTTTCATCAAAAGAGAGATGCTTTCAAATTCCTATATGTGATCGTTCTGTTTCAGTAAGAGAGATGTTGGCCCTTTGAAGCCAAGATATCACAATAAATAATAGAATTTCTTAGAGTGACTTAAAAACAAACATAAAACGAAAACCATTTATTTATACTTGTTTCATTAGTTAGCAAATGATTACAGAACATTTTTGTGTGTTCTGTTGCTCGATAACTGCACTCTCTGACGCCATATCTGAACACTACATTTTTCTCTGTGCTTCAAAATGATTGAAATGAATATACATGCAATGTGTTTAATAAACTAAGGCCCAATTAGTTAATTAGTAACTTATAAATATCACATCACAGACTTTGTTATGAGATACCCTATTATCATACAGAGGAATATCAACATGTTTAGTGCAGTTCTCTTTGTAACATTTAGACAAATTAGATAAAAATATAACTTTTTGAGAGTGACTGGAAGAGTAAAGGGTTCTGAATATTCTGAATTGAACCATAGTGCAATGGGGTTGGGGTTGTGCTGCAGCCAGTGGAACAAAGAACATTATACAGAAGAAAGAATTAATTCATTTAATTTCCTACAAATTCTGGAAGCATTTATAACACAATCTGCAAGAAGGCTACACTTAGAAAAGGGATAACGCCTACAAAATCCAATGATCACAGCCAAATCTCAAAAATCCACAATTGAGTACATCCTGAAGCAAACACTGGCCTGCATTCTCTCCAGAGCAAAACATCATTGAAAATCTGTGGAATGACCTCAAGAGAGCATTGTACTCAAGAGAACCTAGGCATCTCCCAGTATTGGACAATTTTTGTAAGGAGGAATATGCCAACATTTCTGGACTGGATGAACTGATGTAAAATAACAATTAAATTCAATAAAATCTGTTGAATAACTGTTTTTGTCAAGTAAAAAGTGTACATATTTGTAGCGCATTCATACAGTCCTATAAACACACAAACTCCCCACTGATAGGACACCCTCAGTTACCCTGATTTGTGTTACCTGATATTGACGATGCCTCTTTTCGCTGCTGTTTCCGGACAGGATCACTGCTCGGCGATCTCCTCACAGCAGCAGATGTGAAGCGTGTGACTGACAGCCCCTGACTGACAGTAAGTGATCCAAAAATACCTCTGTGACTGCTCCCCATTGACACCCGTTCGAGCGCAGGTCCCCCGGGTGCTGCTGATGCCCGTGGTCACAGCCAGGACTTTAACCAGGTCTGGATCCTGGAACAAAACCAGTTCGGAGTCAACCAGACACAGACAAAGTGAAGTGTGAAGGACAGGTGTCAAGTGAAAACTTAAATGAGGACAAATGAGGAAATAGTCAACATTCCTTTTCTGCAGTTGTCTGAATCATTTTCTACAATTTGCATAGGTTATTGATTTAGTGACAGATGTCCTGCCTGACACAGCATTTTGTTTATTTAGGCTTGGGACCAGTGCATACTGTGATCATTCAGTATAAATATATCTCTTTAAAACTATGTCTCCATCTCTCTTTATGGTATTTACTCTATCATGTTAATTCCAGTCTTGTATTGCAAACTTCAAGAATGGTATATATGAATACAAGTATGCAATATGAGTAATTATATTAGGTTTAGAATACTAACCACAACTGCCTCTGGTCTCGTATATTGTACAAAACAAAATCTGATTTGTAAATTTCTCCATTAAAATGCATGCCTACATTATTTGGAGCATTATTAATGCTTTCGACATTTTAACAACAGTCAGTTTGTATATGAAGAATATATGTATTTAAGCACAACATAATAAATATAACAAATACAACTGATGTTCATACATGAATACTTTTTCCATGGAAATAAGAGTGAGCTTGCATCGTCACAAACCTGACTTGTCCTGGAGGGCCTCTTCCTGTTTGTCTCCATGAACATTTTTCCTTTGGCATCTTCCACTGTGACATAAAAATAAATAAAAGTGAATAAAGTATCTATTTTAGTTTTTATTTCCATGGATGTGTGAGGACAACATGCCACATACAGAACGTTACATAGACTATTAAGACTATAAAATACATTAAACAATAGCCACCCTTGCTAATTACTCATTATACGCATGCAAATCACAATCCCGTTTTACACCACGAAAAGAAACTCGCGTAAAACTCTCGAGAAATGTGCAGAAAGAGGCAGAAAAGCGCTAATGGGAGTAAAGTGTGGGAGTCTGTCTGACAGATGGAGCGAGGGGAGGGGAGACAGTAGCAGGACACCAGCAGCAGCACAGCCCGATGAAGAGGAGAGGAGGAGGAAGGAGCGAAACCAGCGACCACTCTAACCGGGACCTACGCTTCATTCCCGTGGCCACCTCTGCTCCGACAGTCCGCTCCATGGTGCACCTCCAGCGAAGCTTCAGTCTGCACACGTAAGCCCCACTCCCCCGTCTGTTTGACTTCCAGGAGAACCGTAACTTTAGCGGGACCCCCACGACACTTCACCCCGCCAGCGTGCACTCCCACCCCGGACAAGCGCTTGCAGAAACCTCGCATTACCCCTTTCTGTCTTTCTCTTCTTCTTTTTGTTGATTTTCACTTTTCATCTCAAAACTTCTTCCAGGGAGCTCCGTAACTTCAGCAGGACCTCTCGGACACCGCACCCAGCCTGCGCTCGCTCTCCTCCCGGGCACGGACTTCACGATGCTCCGCTCTCATGGAACTTAACTTTCTATTTTTCCCATTTAAAAACTTGGTCTTTTTTAAACACGTTTTGCACTAAGTCTCACATTTTTCTCGTGGATGTAGCACTTTTTTTGGTCTCGTTTTGAGGTTGTTTTAAGGAACGAAGCGGAGCGACACGCACTCAATACAGTCAGTTCACCGCAATTCATATTCATTTCACGCTTTATTAACTAATGCATCCGGGAAATATATCACATTTACGGGAAGACAAGCCTTATCCTGTTCCCAATCTATCTTCAATTACACGCTATCGACACAGAAACGACTTTTAAAGTGATTTAAAATTAGCCTAATTTAATGTCACGTGGCGAGATGTCATTACGCTAAAGCTAACATAAAAGTAAGCTAGTGCATTTGTCATTATGCTAACGATTAAGCTAGCATAAAAAAACACATGTTAGCAATTAAAACTTCACATTTTAAACGCCTTTTACTTGTATATTTTTGTCAATGCGATGGGAAATCAATAGTTGAGGTTTCGGGTCGTGTTTCGCAATTAAAACAACAGTCTAAAAGCGTAAATTAAGGCAGTTTTTGAGCAAATTAATCGTCTCTTGTTGGAGGCTAAACTGTTAATTGGGAAATTGATTAGTTGCTGGGTTAGCCACAGTTTCAATTAGTTCCCTCGGTAAAGAGAAAGCTGCGCGGTGTGTGGGACGTTCTCAAGTTTAAATGCAGATAAAGCATCACATTTTTATTAATTTAAACTCAAAAGATTGACTTTTTTTTGTTGCTATTTGACAAAATGTGGTGTTTTTGTTTACGGCTCAGAGCATGCGGCCCCTTGCGGGTTTTGCCTGAAGGGAATAATAAATCTTAAGGCATTGATGTCAGATGCAAAATGACCACTTTTTCGGCATTATTAATTTCCTATAATGCATTTATAAGACTTTCGTTCGTAAATGCTTTATAAATTGTGTTTTTCTTGTCTTTTACGCATTGGAGATGACGAAGAAACATTTGGAGAATACGAAAGACTTTTTTTACATTTGGGCCTTTCCTGTTCACTTTTAAAAAAATAATTAAAATCACATATTTAAGAAGTTATTCACAACGTGTTTAGAACAACTTTTTATTGCCGTGTATCCAGTGACATAGAATCCTATAAAGTTGCTAAACATTATTGGCAGAAATAACATAAAACGCGCAGACCTAGCGTTTGTCCACAGCGTCTTTATGGCCAACATGTATTATGCTGCGATAGAATACTAACGGGTTTGTGAAAATTATCTGTTTAAAACAAAAAGAAAATGATTTAGATTATAGTGTCATTTCCTATGTATATGTTCAAGAGAAAATCTGAATTCGAATTTTTGCCTAATTTAAAAATCGATTTATCATTTATGTTTGCTATGTAGGTTCACTCAGAGAAATGTGATGCTGTGGTTAGTACACTCCGTTCCACTCAATTTGCTTCACAGTTTGTGCTTAGAATAATAGTAAAAAAGGCAAAAAAGACAGGGAAAACAGTTCATGTATTTGGACATAATGTTCACACTTTATATGAGTTATTACCTTTCGCATCTAATTTGTTTCTCACAGGTGGATTAGATTAGGGTTTGGTATAATGGGGGTTTTTAGGAAAGTGTGTGCAAATAAGGAATGATTTAAGCATCCTTTGAGTCTATGTTTCAACATTTTCTGCTATCAAAAACATTAAAAAACATATTTCTAAATGTTTTGCATAATTATTTTCAAATAGATGGACTGTTGTATTCAAGCGTGAATTGGATTTCACAATGCAGCCACGTCTACATGGCAAGTAAAACTCTCATAACTAGACTCATCACTCTACACAACCCCTGTAGAACTGATGTGATACTATAAGCACAGAAACCGTAATTTCAAATATATATTGATACAATTTGCAATTTCATTTTATTTGCTAATTTTCCTTTTTTAGCTGCTCAGGTGTAAGAAATCAATGGGAAATCCTGTAACTCACATCAAAAATGAATCATGTTTTTAGAGGGAGCGTATAGTACAGCCCTTTGTCAATACAGTGTATAAGTACGGGCAACGTTGATGAAACAAAATAACATTTGCAAGGATTCACGCTGTAATTTACTTTCAGTGACAAATGAGATGTTTTAAATTTTTCATTCAACAATTTAATAAACATAATTTACTATTCAAACAATAAAAAAGACCCCAGATTATAATACATCATAAAATACCAAACTTAACTACAGGCTTCACTTGATCTATGCTATGAGAAAGAGCAGGATATATTCTTGATTCTTTGTCATATTCAAGCAATAAAAAAAACATTTATAGACATTGTTTGATACCAATTGTTTAATTTTATCAAAACGCAAACAAACACACCCCACTCTTAAAACATTCAACTATATTCATTCAATTGCAATAACTTCATTATAAAAACTTCACAAATTACAGCTAATTGAAAACATAACACGCAAAATCCCCCGCGTCTTCAATGTGAGAAACACCAAATTTCAATTTTTCAGCCCTAACTAACCACTCAGAAACCACAGAGTCCGACTCACAGGGAAAGAAGAGCCCAGAATCTATCACTGGTAATAAAAAGCAGCGAGGAGCGTGAAAAGTGTTGCTGTAATTGTCCCGAAAGCGCTGTAAAGAAGCGCAAACGATGTGGATGAGTGATAAAAGTCGATGTGTCCCGCTGCGCATGGATCAATAGCTGCTCTTAACCATCAGAACGGACATGCTTCGGCCAAAAGGGGGAGGGAGCAGGCTGGCTTCACACACTGCTCATCAGATATGGAAATACAGCAGATTTTAAAAGCAAGACATTTGAACACAAGCACTCTGCTGTTTATCAAATTATGATCTGAAAACGTTCTTCCTGCTCTAAAAAACAAACTTAAACCTTCAACAAACGTGTCATTATGCATTTCAACTGGGCTATATCTGGATTTGTTGCAGGTGAAACTTATAGACCTATACATTTAGAATATTGTTTAAAAGTCCATTTAGTTCTGTAATTCAGCTCAGAATGCAAAACTAATCTTAATATATAATGTATGATTTAGACTCAGTAAGATGTTGATTATGGCCTAGTCGTGCACTTTTTCAAAATATATTTCATTTGGGTCACAAGCTGCGAGCCATAATTATCAACATTATAACAAACAAAGGCTTGATATATCTGACTTTGTGTTTTGATGAATCTTTATCAAATAATTGTTTCACATTGTTAGTTGAATTACAGTAAAGTAAATGGACTTTTGAACGATATTCTATTGTTCTGCGTTTTGTATCAGTTTTATTCAAGCTCTGCAGAGACAAACATGGTGATCAGATTTGCCTTTTTATTTTGATTTTTCACACTACTTCAGTTGTTGCTTTTGACCAGTTATTTAGATAAACCTGAACTTTTTTCAATTTGTCACAAAAATGTGTGTTCTCTTATTTCAAGCAAGAGCCTTAGGCCATCCCGCTTAGAAAATATTACTTACATTTTATTTTTGGTAAAGTTTCTTCTTGAGTCTTTAGACAGGTGTTTTTCTGTTTATCTAAAATAGCTCAGTCCTATTTGACTTTCCCATACTTCAGTTATACAGAGGATCAGCTTCACGTTTCATGCAGTATTTTGAGAACTTTTATTCCCATTCAAAAGATGTAATATTGTTTTGAATTGTTAATCACTGGGGCAAGTTAGTTGTCCTCATTTTTCACTCTCCCTAAAAACCCACGGATAGGAGGAGGATGTTGGGGTATTATCTCTGTGTGCTTGTACATTTATCTGGAGGTTTGTTCGCGCCGCCGTTATCGCTGCTCTGTGATTTCTCTTCTGTGCGGCGGCTGCGGAAACTCACACACTTACTTACTTTATACCAAAGTGGCATGCACTTGTACTTTCTATACTTTCTTTGAAAAATTACACATATATTATTATTTATTGGGGTTTCAAAATTTACAATATAACAACGAAATCCTCAAAAAGGCTCACTCTACTGCCACATACAAGAGGTAATACAAATATAACATAACATTTACATAAGATAGACCTCACTAGTAAATACAGGGGATTTTCAAGTTTGACACACTTCACCATGCTTTCTATAGTGTTGTCACAAAACTAAAATTACAAATATTCCAGAGGTTTTTAACTGCAAATGGTGAAACTGAATCTGAAAATTTAGATAAATCTGATTTTTGATGCCAATTTCTATTCCACAGTTATAATCATAAAATAACTTTTGCTGCATTTTTTAACATTAATAACAACGCAACATTTTTCGTTTTATTTTTACTTTGAGTTGTTCGTTGCTGATGCTGGAGGGTCTAAGGACAGTGTTGATCTGGGAAATTTAAGGGCACTTATGAACATTTATCAGTATGGGCATTGGTCATGGCGCTCCCTGTGGACCAATGGTTCCTATGAGTTTGTTATTACTGCAGTTTCTGTGTTTGAACGGTTTGATTATCTGATTTGTTGATGTTGAATCCATTACTTTGCAAAGTCCTTCGAGACGACTGCTGGTGTGATTTAGGGCAATAGAAAAATAAATTGAATTGAATTTAACACAATAATGCTTTTTAATGGTACCATAAGATTTGTAGTTCTGAGATTTGTAGTACTGCTCAGAATATTTTTTAATTTTCATTTCTCCTCATTTATTTCGTTTGAGCAGAAATAGTTGCATTCATACGTTCATCATATCATCTAATGAACATATCGAATACGCATTCAGATGCAGAGGTATCTTTTCAATGTCATTTATTTTTGTATAGCCCTAAATTGCAGTTGTCAATTCACCAACAACAGATCAGAGAATCAAACAGTTCTTCATGACTTTTTGACTTTTTTACACTTCATGACTTTTTTACAATTTACCAGCTCGAGTTTTGATACTAGTTTTAGCATCGACTGATATATGATTTTCAATTCACTTCTATTCAATACATTTTTTTATAGTCCTAAATCACAACAGCAGTTGTCTCGGGTGGACTTTACAAAGTTGTTGATTTGCCAACAACAGATCAGAGAATCAAACATGGGAGCAGGATGACCAATATCCAGAAATGTCCTTAAATGTCCTGGATCATCACTCTCCTTTGACCCTTCTGCATTGGCAAGGAACTACTCAAAAACCCAGTGGGAAAAAATTTAGAAACCTCGGGTAGCCCCACAGACTGTAGACCCAGGACTGTAGAACGAGGACTGAGTCAAGACGCTTTACCCATTTGTTAACCCTTGTGCTATCCTCGGGTCAAAGTGATCTGTCACAGTGATTTAGAAATACCCTAAATACAATATTTTTTTGCTGACCTGACCAGCCCTGGACCCTTCAAGCTAGACCCAAATTATGGGTATTATTCTTCTAATTTATTCATTGTGGCAGGTCATTTTGACCCGAGGATAGCACAAAAGAGGTGCAGGAAATGATAATCCTGCTTTGATGAGTCAGTGAAATAAAGGGCTTTCAGTATTATTCGTTATTGCCCCTTTTTCATAATATGCCCTCTGCTGTTGTGTTGCTGAGCACGACACTTCATCCTCTAAGGCCCCAGCTCTAAACATCCACTCTCACCACCCATACACTCTCGGGCTGCATGAGTCGCAACTGAATCAAAATCACAATTTTAGTGGCTGCTGATGAATATGAATCCTTAAGTTTAGTCAAGATGGATTTTTTCTACTTTTTTACCTATTGGAAACTATAAACATCTTGTAAACGTCACTTTGAATTAGCGTTATGTTTTATTCACTAAAGCGCTTCTCATCGGCTCAATTAGCGTCTGCAGACTTCACACTCATCCAATTTAGCAACACGCGGTTGTCTAACGAACCATAGTGCGAAGATCCCCAAGGCCTTTGAAAGCGGCCAGTGACACAAATGCTACAAATGTTGTTTTGTGCTTGTAGTTTTCCCAGTGCATGTTTCTTCTGTATCTCTCCCTGTTCGAGGTCAGGGCTGGAGCTCAGACTAGAGTGAGGGAAACTGATATTAAGAGATTTAGAGGACAGAGGTTAAGTCCACGCTGCTGCCGACAAAAACACTCCGCTCTCCACGCAGCATTGGACATTTGACAACTTGTTACTAGTTTGTCTCATTCAAATATTGTAGTGATTTTTCCTTTTTTTCTTAAAATGTGCTTTAAATTGTAAATTTGTTGTATTCTGGATTGTATTCTTTTGAAGCAGTGCACAAAAATAGCATTCCGACCTGTCCTCTAGATTTGTTTTGCTTTCAATGCCTACTTCATTTAAGCTTGAGCTGTGGAGAGAAAAATGTATTTGTTTTAAGGTCTTTGGGAACGGGAGCGTTGATGGGACATTTTGTTATGTCGTCTGAGTTTTGTGGGGAAACAAGCCTTGCACTGAGAGCTGTCTTTACTGCAGCTGCTGCCATATTGAAATGAGACAGAGTATGTTGTGTTTACAGGGTAAACACAATGTATCTTTGACTTTTTTATCCTCATTTGGAACCACAATACTACATGTTAAACTCTTTTTTAGACACAGTGGTTGGTGGTTGGTTAGTGGTCCTGGGTTCAATTCCACCTCCAGACCTTTCTATGTGGAGTTGCCTGTTATGGCCGTGTCTGCGTAGGTTTCCTCCAGGTGCTCCGGTTTCTTCCAGGTTCTCCGGTTTCCTCCAGGTGCTCCGGTTTCCCCTGTGACTAAAAACTTGCATAATAGGTCTGGCCTGTGCCTCCTGTACGGCGACCTCGCTCCCATCTCTATTTGGAGTGAGAGACAAATACCCACAATTGTAAAGTGCTTTGTGACTCTGGTCTGTGAAAGGCGCTATTTAAATAAAGATTACTTACTTACTTTCTTAGTAGTCTTTTGAAAATAGTTGTAGAGGAATTACACACACTCGTGTTGGAGAAACGAGAGGCAGCCTTAGTTTTTTACCTCTCTCACTACTTAATTTGTATTTGATAAAAGTGGATTTAAAAAAACGTTTTGAAAATGAGTCAATATGCGGGGATAAAAATTGTGATATTTTTTCCCCACATCCCTCCACCCGACCGTACCAATACATAATAATGATTAAGATGAATAGATCCTTTATTTGTCCCACACTGCAGACATTTCAGATGGAAAGAGGAGAGGGTGATGCAACTTGCAGCCAGCTCCTACATAACGCATGCATAGTTTTTGATGATCATTATTGTTCCCATACAGTAATAGAGCAGACCTACAGTGTGTTAACACTGTTTATCTGTTTGTCTTCATCAAAATCAAATGCAACAGATTTGAATGGTCTGGTCTCTAACTCTTGTGTTTTTGTTCTGTAGAGGGCCGCCATGCTGAAGCCCGCCGACCCCAGCGCGTCCGCCTTCCTGAAGGTGGACCCCTCATACCTGCATCACTGGCAGCAGCTCTTCCCACAGACGCAGCTCAAACCGCCGCCGTCCAACAGCGCCGCCTTAGCCCCGCCCCTCTCCTCCATCAACGTGGAAACCCTCCGCTCGGCGCGTCTCCACGGACACCTCCACCACAACGCCAACTCCTCGGTCATTTCCAGCTCCACCACGCCGCAGCTCAACGTCACCCCGCAGATGGCGCTGTTCGGACAGGCCCTGGCTCCCGTGTGCCTGCCCGAGCGAGCGCCGCAGCCCGCCGGGGGAGGAGGGGGCCGGGAGGACGTGGTGCTGGTGGTGGAAAGTAACGCACAGAGCAGCGCAAAGGAGGGCTCCGGCGGCGTCAGCGTGGTGTCGTCCAGCGTGAAGAGCGTCAGCAGCAGCAGCGTGGCGAGCGGCGAGGACAAGAGCATGTCGCTGAGGTTTAAGCTAACGTCCGAGGAGCTGGACTATTACCTGTATGGACAGCAGCGCATGGAGATTATTCCATTGAGCAACCACACGGGGGAGCCCAACAACCGTACGTATCCTCACTCACCTTTCACTGGAAGAGTCACTATCTATAGCCGTAAAACTCCTAGGAGGTTGTATGAATACAGGAAGAAGTTTGGATCACACACTCATTCATCCACATTCACACGTCTAGACCCCTCAGGTGCCCGGTGCCACAACGGCGGGGTCAAGCCCCTGGTTGACCCTAGGATTACCCTGGAAGAGTCACAGTTGATTTTATTGTCAAGTTATGTTTATTGAGTGCACTAGTTATTCAGGAAACTCATGGCCTGAATTAGGGGAAAGTTTGTCCCTTTGTCCAAAAATGGCAAAAGATGCATCCGTCTTTGTCCTGTTCTGCTCCTTATCATTGGAGTCTGCTGAGGTCAACCTTAAGGAGCAGTTCGGAGAAAGGAGCTATAAGGAAAGGAGATGTTGCTGATGTAAATTAATCTGAATCCTCCGAACCACCAGTGGAAACAGCATCTGCTCGTAGAAAAATACATATACCACAAAATCAAAGCACAGTCCCCTCCTCTGGGCAGACTGATCTCACAGCACTCTCTGCAAGGCTTATTTATATTTATTTATATCAGTGGAATATTCAGTGTTTTGGGAGTTCACTTCAACACAAATGTAATGATGGTGATGTATGCAGAGCTGGGAGGAGTGTGAGAGGAGTGTGTTTCTTCACACTTAAACCTCCATAGTGTAAAAAGTTTAAACCACCTCCCACACCATAACAGCACAGAGCTCTGCTCAATATGCACTACATTCAGCTGCAACAGCCTCAGTCACAAATTAAGGACATAAGATCCCTCTAAATCCTGTTCTTTTGGTCCAACAGATGCAGCTGCTGGCATGAGGCCATTATATAAATGCGATGTTATTTATCCAAGAGGAGTCCACGTTCTGTTCATAATAATGAAAACAAAGTTTCATGCAGTTGTTAATGTATGTATTATTCTGCACTGCATGCTGGGATCTCCTACCTAATGAAGGAAGCATGATTGTTCCTTTCTTTTTGTTCCTTAACATGACGGACCACCAGCTTCCAGGTCAATGATAAGGAAAGGAATTTCCTCCAAGCATTGAATGTTTTTGAACGGGGAGTGTATGTGTCTGTACTGTAAGTAGACTTTCAGGTATGAGGGTTTTGACGGTTATGTGAAACTAAATATTCTCCAGACTTGAATTATGCATATAACACAAATAATCCACTTTAATTGGATAATCCCAATTTCAAAAGTTATATGCGTCTATAGCTGTCATTACCATGGCAAAGGCAATTCAATTGTTTTGTGAGTAAAGAAAACAACTAAAAAGACTTAGTAGTCTATAATAAATAAATAGTCTGTGAGGAAACCTGAGCCGAACACAGGCTCAAGATCAAATACATAGTTACAAATCTCCTATTATTGTAATGGTTCCATGCACGGTGGTAGGTGGGTGCTCCTTTGCTCACCTGCTGTTTCAATCACAGTCGAAAGGATCACTTCACTCATGAGAGACTTCCTCAGAGCGATTAGCAGCTGCTCTATCGACAGAGATCAGAGGTCACGCTCCGCAACAGACTCTCAGCTTCATCTGCTCCGTTAATGTTGAAGTCATAGTCCAATTTATGAATCTGGATCTGGGTCGTGTCGTTTTAGCCCCAACACGAGCTGTGACTAAAGGCCAAGATTTATTTTAGGCCGACCAATATGTTTTTTTCAGGGCAATAAGGACGCAGTCAACGATACGTAGAGGCCATATTAACTGGCAGTGAAAGTGAAAATATTTGTGTTAACATCTTTGATAAGACACATTCCAACACTAAATGCCTGAAGCATTAAATTTATTTAAAAAACTGGAAGTAATGTAACAACAGAATTGTCTGGGTCTCTCAGGTAATAGTCGCTGACATGCATTTGATGTGATGTCCTGCTATTTAAGTTATAAAACAAACTAATCTGGCAGGGCAACCTCAGGAACAGCGGTTATCTAGTAGTTTAATAAAAGTTGAATTGTATTATTGTTGTTTTGATCAGTAGGCTGGATAAGAACCCTAACAAAACATTTTCAATATCGGGTAACGCTAATATATCAATAATTTTCTGACAAGGCCATTTTGTTCCTAGAATAACCCTAAACCTAAACCTTTCAGTTTATGGATTGGGTGATAACCAGTCAAATGCTTAAGTATACTGTGATATTAAGATGCCATAATATCAATGCAGTCAGGATGTACTCTAGACAGAACTGCTTTAGTTCACTGTTAGTGGGATGAAACTCAGAAAATACGCAGCTCACGAAAAATCTTTTTTGGAAATATTCAAGTAAATCATTTAGGGCTGGACTTGGTTGATAATCAATTAATTGTTGAAAGATTTCGGGCTGTTTTCTTTCTGGTAATTTGTCAAAATTAACAAAGAACCAGAAACACAAGAGCCCGAAATCTTTCTCACTTGGACTTTAATTCCATCTGGCATGTTCACTCAAGGCTCTTGGCGGTCATTATCTTAATCTTGTAATGAGACGATGTCTGCCAGTGTTAATGTGGTAAGTATTTTTCCCATCTAGATATGTAATATTTATGAATTATATTCTGGCATATAACCTTGCCTTGTTATCTAAAATCTACTTTGCATTAAAAACTACAATCTTGGTCCATGAAGTTATAAGACAAAACTCACAGAATAGCACATTTTACCAATGAATGTTTAAGGAAGGGAGCTCTCTATAAATCAAATACAACCTCTACAAACCTCTATTGAGCTGTTACAGAAATTGTTAGAAGCAGGATGGCATCAAAACGTATTTCAAAAATCCTTGCGGCATAAACTTGAATTTTCTCTCTGAAACGTTGTCCTGCCTTTCGCCTCCCCTGCTCCTCTGCTGTCTCTTCTCTCTGGGGTGCTTCCAAATGCACTCAGCTCTTTGTCATTTAAATCAGGAAGCTTCCCGCTGTCACAGTGCGGGGCATCGGAGGAGGAGACGTATTGATTTTTCAACACAAAATAATGTTATGATCTGAAGCAGGCTGTTCAAACGTCACAAATATTTCACAGTGTCCCGCAGAGAGGGAATACATTTAACGCTGCGTAACAAGCACCAAACACGGGCCAAATCAATGACAGAACTCATTTGAATCAAACAAGATTAAAACCACTGGATTACGGCCAAAACTACCAGATACATACAGAGTGGGGAAGAAAAGTATTTAGTCAACCACTAATTGTGCAAATTTGATCGATTACACAATATTTTGACCACTATGTGTGGAGTTTGTATGCTTCTCCCTGTGTTTAGGTGGGTTTCCAGTTTTCCGGTTGCCCCCACCAGCTAAAAGACACATCATAGGTAAAATCCCAAGTCCAAGTCCTGACCAAGAGCGTCGACATCCGGTGATGGGTCCAGGCTGACAAATTTCCCTACAGGGACAATGCCGAACACCTTAATCTTATCATAACCCACAATGCCACTGGGGCAAGTTGATCGTACCCAGTTGACTATGGTTAGCCAATTATATTTAAGGATTTATCTTTTAAAGGAAAAGGTATGAAGCTAATAATCTGAATATCTAATTGACTGTACATTTCTATTAAAGCAGGAAAACTCTTGATTCATATAGTTCGATTTACATTTTTATGGTTTTTTGTTTTGTTTTGCATAGAGCTGAACGAGACTTCAGTCACTCAGACACATGTAACCATAAAAGTTTTGAGAACGTCTGTAACAGCTCTTTTAGTCGACCAGGCAAGTGTTTGTTTGGCTACAGCGCTACCATTTCAAAAATACAAGGAAGTCGTACTGAGCCATAGGTGTCAAAGATGATCACCCTAAAGCTGACATAAGTTATAACATCTTTAAAAGCACATCATCTCTCCATTTTTTTGATTAGACTATTATGTTTTCATTTCCTGTTTTAGAATGTAGAATAATAACTTTGGTAGAAGATATATGGTGAAACAAGTATGCAACTCCTTATGCTACCACCAGAGTTGAATTTGCTTTGTTTTTCCCAACTTTGAAAAGTACCAGCTGCAAACACAGCCATGTGATTGTAAAGAATGTCATTTTCCTTAAGAAATTGCCAAAACTAATCTATGGACAATTCTTTGGGTTTAAACGGCAGGACAACTGCTTTGAGTGTGATATCATAGTGGTGCAATGACATCAAACCTTTACAGGACTGGCTTTTAGCGTGGATGGATCTAAAAACAACATTGGTTGGATGAGCAAACTATTTTGTAACATAATTAAAAGTCGATATAACTGTGATAAATGAAAACAATCCTCATGTGTCACATATAAATTAAAAGCTTACCGCAGACAAAAGCAGCTAATATTTTGAGGACAGCACTCTCACGTTAGCTCCCTCCCCCATGTGCGTGTGATAAAGCGTCTCCTCAGCAGTAATCTCCCCCTCCTCTCGCCTCATGACCGATGGGGGGACAAGTGCGTATTAATTGGACTCTTTGGTTTTGTGTGCGCGGTGGCGGGTCGATGCGGCCGGCCGTGATTTGTCTTGGTGGCGGCGCGGAGAGGGTAGCGGAGGCCAGATAAAGCGCTCATCTGTCACACGCTTTATTAATTACAGCGGCGATAATCATAATCATAGAAATAGTAATGGAGGAGCACAGGCCGCATAGACAGAGGCTATCTCATGTCCACTCTGCACAAGCACACATTAGACATACAGGCACTGCTGCTGCTACTGCTGCTGCTGCTGCTGCTACTGCTGCTACTACTGCTGCTGCTGCTGCGAACAACTACAGGATTTCATAGTTAATATCTACAAAGTGTGATGAGAAAACTTACTTTTTTTTTGTTGGATTTATTTTGTTATTGTCTATTAAGATTCCATATGAGATTTATAGATTCTTGATTTGTCCCACAGGTGGGGACATTTCAGCGTTGCATCAAGTTACACAAAACAGTAGGAATGAGGAGAACACAAAACTAGATAAGTGGCTGTGAATATAACTCTTTGCTTGGACAAAACCACCATCAGAAAGTAATACAAACTAATATAAATGTAGACAT